GTAAAACAGATGCACTCATATCACTCTTAATGAGTGGTGCAAAACCAGTTCGCTCTTGGGTGATGCAGAAACACGTCACTGAATTTGGGCGCGAGAAAGATGGTGTGCAGCTGCTATACTTTTCGGAAATGTCAAAAGTTATTTGCTCACCAATTAACGTATAATCTAGTTAGACAACGCTATGTCTAAATTTTGCACACTTGAACTTATCCCTATCAATTGTGCAAAATTAAACAGTTTGTTTTGCCAGTGAGGTGAGGGCCGCATCAGACTCCCCTTTCTAACTGCTGTCCTTGGTAGCCTCTAGGTCGCGGGGGCCGGAGGACCGACGATGGAATAGAGGCCAAGCTAGGCCCGCTCCTCGTTAGGTTAATGTGAATGAAAATATTTTCAACAAGTAGTCTGCAGCCGGCCGTTCACATGGAAAAATATATAGCCATGTAGATAAACCAAAAATACAGGATAACTGTCGTCTATCCAGCAATGTCGCAAAAAATTTAGCTAAGCGGCTAGCTAGCTAGCATAGCCTCTTAGCTACATATCGATATGTGAGCTAAACCAATAGCTAAATACGGGAAAACTAATTTTTGAGATCTCAAAAATTAGTTTTCCCGTATTTAGCTATTGGTTTAGCCAGCAGCCAGTGCGGGCGCGCGGAGGCGGGAGGCGGGACACATGACGTTTGCGTGTCGGGATCGAGAGGTGCTTGTAATGTCGTGGGCGGCCGCTGATCAATTCAAAGAGGAACAATTGTGAGAACCGCATCTTCCTAAGGGCTCACTTACTTACACGTTTGCGGCGAATGACGCGGTTACCGAACCGGCGGGCGGGCGTGCGGCCGTGTCTGGGCATTCGTGCAAAGACACACCTCAATGTAATTGCTCGTGCCCTGCCCCATACAAACTGGCAGGGGTCACCAGGTCGGGGAACCCCGAGGTCCAAGCGATCGATTGCGGGCAAAGACACACCTCAATGTACTTGCTCCTGCCCCATACAAACTGACAGGGGGCACCCGGTCGGGGAACCCCGAGGTCTCACACGGTTAAAAGTGTACAGTGATTTTCACCGTAAGCTACAGTGGAAGCCTGCAGCACCGTAGCTTACGGTGATTTTCACTGATCTCACCGTGCTGCAGGCTTTCACTGTAGCTTACTGTGAAAATAAGTGTAAGCTTTTAACAGTGCAGCGATCGATTGCGGGCAACGTTCTGTCTCACCAAACGGATTTCCGGAACCGACCAACCGGCCACCGACACCCGCCATGCCACATCAAAATAAAGTGTAAATGCCCAGTTGGGCCTGACTAAAAAGTGAAAGCATATTTGCGAATAATATTTTGTGCATAATTGTGTATACTGAAATTATTTTCATGGGGGAATTTTGGAGGTGATCAAGACAACGTTTTTGAGTTGAATTGTGGAGTAACACTTCACTTTGTTGACTTAACAGAAGAAGAAGTGAATGTCATCCGGTGTCACCGACACCGACCTGCTCCTCGACTACACGATGCGACGGCGAGTATGAACTGTTTAGCTGGGTGACATTTTTTTTTCGTTATTTCTTCTCCTCGAAGTAGCGATGCAGTCTGCATGCATTTTTGCACGTGCTCGCATGTGCGAGATGAGTGCGAAGATATACAGGCGTGGTGGGGTCCCTCACTTCGATCATTCGCTTACAGTGGATAAATGATCGGAAAGAACGGAAAGCGACAGCAGCACTGGAAAAACAAAGG